TCACATTAACAAATCGAAGAACAAAAACCATATGATTATCTCAGTAGATGCAGAGAAATCATTTGATAAAATACAACACCCTTTCATGATGAAAACTTTAAGTAAATTCGGTCTAGAAGGAACTTTCCTCAACATAGTTAAGGCAATTTATGACAAACCCACAGCCAGCATCCTACTGAATAGGGAAAAACTGGAAGCATTCCCAATGAGATCTGGAACCATACAAGGATGCCCACTCTCTCCATTGCTATTCAATATAGTATTGGAAGTTTTAGCCAGAGCCATCAGGCAATAAAATAAATCAAAGGGATTCAGATCGGTAAGGATGAAGTCAAACTATCCTTATTTGCAGATGATATGAATATATATATAATATATAATGTATATATATATTTATATTTATATATTTATATATATATTTATATATATAATTTATATAAAAAATATATATAATATATATATATATATATATATATATGGGGACTCTACTAGGAGACTAATGGAACTCATAAAAGTTTGGTAAAATATCAGGATATAAAATCAAAACACAAAACAATAATTTTTGTCTGCACAGCCAATGAGAAAGAACTTCTAAGATCAATACCATTCACAATAGATACAAAAAAATTAAATATCTTGGAATAATTTAACCAAGGAGGTCAAAGATCTCTACATTGAGAATTACAAAACTCTAAAGAAAGAATTAGAAGAAGAAATGAAAAATGGAAAAAAATCTTCCATGTTCATGGATTGGAAGAATCAACATCATCAAAATGTCATTCTTCTAAAAATAATTTGCAGATTCAATGTGATATCAATCAAAATACCAAAGAGATTCTTCTCAGATCTCGTAAAAATAATGCTGAAATTCATTTGGAAACATAAGAGGCCTAGGATAGCTAAAGCAATCTTATACAACAAAAATAAAGCTGGAGGCATAACAATACCAGATTTCAAGACATACTATAGGGCAGTTATAATCAAAACAGCCTGGTACTGGTACAAAAACAGATGAATAGACAAATGGAACAGAATAGAAACGCCAGAAATCAATCCAACCATCTGCAACCAACTTATATTTGACCAAGGAGCTAAAACCATTCCTTGGTACAAGGGCAGTCTCTTCAACAAGTGGTGCTGGGAAAACTGGATTTTCATATGCAGAAATATGAAGCAAGACCCCTACCTTACACCTTATACAAAGATCCATTCAAAATGGATTAAAGACCTAAATTTATGACCCAGTAGCACCAAATTACTAGAGAGCATAGGGGAAACCCTGCAAGACATTGGCCTAGGCACAGATTTCCTGGAAAAGACTCTAGAGGCACAGGTAATAAAAATGAAGATTAACAAGTGGGATTACATCAAATTGAGACGCTTCTGTACAGCAAAAGAAACAGAAAAGTAAAGAGGCAATAAAAAGAATGGGAGAAATTATTTGCAAACCATGCACCTGATAAAGGATTAATAACCAGAATATATAAAGCAATAAAAAACTCAACAATAGCAAACAACCCAGTTAAGAAGTTGGCCGGGCCAGCGCCATGCCTCACTTGGCTAATCTTCTGCCTGCGGCACCAGCATCCCAGGTTCTAGTCCCAGTTGGGGCACCAGATTCTGTCCAGTTGCTCCTCTTCCAGTCCAGCTCTCTGCTATGGCCTGGGAAGGCAGTGGAGGATGGTCCAAGTGTTTGGGCTGTGCACCCGCATGGGAGACCAGGAGGAAGCACCTGGCTCCTGGCTTCAGATCGGCACAGCACACTGGCCTTGGCGGCCATTTTGGGGGGTGAACCAATGGAAGGAAGACCTTTCTCTCTGTCTCTTTCTAACTCTGCCTGCCCTAAATAAATAAATAAATAAATAAATAAATAAAAAAGAAAATCGAAAAAAAAAAGACGTGGGCAAAGTACTTAAATAGACATTTCTCAAAAAAGGAAATCCCAATGGCCTACAGACACATGAAAAAATGTTCAGGATCACTAGTTACCAGGGATGTTAAATCAAAACTACAATGAGGTATCACCTTACTCCAGTTAGAATGGCTTTCATACAGAAGTCAACAAACAACAAATGCTGGTGAGGATGTGGGGAAAAAGGTACCCTAATCCACTGTTGGTAGCAATGCAAACTGGTAAAGCCACTATGGAAGACAGTTTGGAGATACCTCAGAAATCTGAATATAGACCTACCATAAAATCCAGCCATCCCTTTCCTCGGGATTTACATAGAGGAAATGAAATCAGCAAATAAAAGAGACATCTGCATGTCTATGTTTTTTTGCAGTTCCATTCACAATAGTCCAGACATGGAATCAACCTAATGCCCCATCAATGGAAGACTGGATAAAGAAACTATGGGATATGTACTATATGGAATCCTACACAGCAGTTAAAAAAAATGAAATCTGGTCATTTACAGCTAAATGGATGAATCTGGAAAATATCATACTTAGGGAAATAAGCCAGTTCCAAAGGGACAAATATCATATGTTCCCCCTTATCTGTGACAACTAACAGAGCATCTAAAAGGAAACCTGTGAAAGTGAAAGAGACACTATGAGAAGCAATTACTTGAACAGTCCTTGTCTTGACTGTTGAGGAACACAATATTTTTCTTTTGTTTGTTTGTTTTTTTTTCTTCATACTAATTGGTGAACTCTCTATTTAGTGTAGGGTTATATGCATGAAGTTATATTCCTTAAACAAAATAAAAATAAATAAAAAATTAAAAAGTACATTCATTTTCCTTCAGTTAATAATGTAAAAAATGCTATACTAATATGATTAGTTTCCCAGTATTCTCAGGTCTTTAGCGATGGACTAAATAGCTGATATCATAACTTAGAAATGTATCTTGGGGGCCAGTGCTGTAGTGTAGCCAGTAAAGCAGTGGCCTGCAGTGCTGGTATCCCATATGGCCATGGGTTCAAGCCTCAGCTGCTTCACTTTTGATCCAGCTCTCTGTTAATGTGCCTGGGAAAGCAGTGGAGGATGGCTCAAGTCTTTGGGACCCTGCACCTGGGTAGGAGACTGGGAAGAAGTTCCTGGCTCCTGGCTTCAGATAACAACAGCTCTGGCCATTTTGGCCATCTGAGGAGTGAACCAGAAGATGGAAGACCTTTCTCTCTCTTTACCTCTGCTTCTCTTTACTCTGCCTTTCCAGATAAATAAATGCGTCTTTTTTAAAAAAGCAAAAAGACAAAATGAACTTTTTTAAAAAAAGTATCTTGAACTTAATGGAGCATATGCTGAAAAATGAAGTTCATATTTTTAATTTTTATCTTTTAATTTAATTTTCTGTAAATTCTTTGAAGTCTCTTCATATAATTACTTCAATTTTGATTACAGTAAAAATGCAAAGCTCTATATTATCAGTTTCCTCATTATTCTTCTGACCTCTTTTCTGCTATCTTGCTCACTTTGGTTGGAAATACTGGTCACAGTTTCCTAGGAAAATTCAAGCCCATCAGAAATTAAAGACCTTATTCTGCCTACTTCTCCTGGAGTGTTGTTCATACCCCACATATCTACATATCACAAATCATCATTTTTTCAAGTCTTTTTTTTTCCCACATGTCACCATATTTGTTTGAACTATTGGTCACAATTCTTTATCATTTCATGAAATAATAACACACTTAATTACTCTTTGCCATGGTCTCATAGTGGTTGGAGTCTGTTTTCCTGCCACTTAAGACTTAACCATTTAAATTTGCTTTTTTTATTGGTTGAAATTACAGTAGACAACCCAAGCCAATATTTGAAGTGCTCTTGTGTGATTAGGCTTGTCCTCTTGTGTTCCTGCCTTTCACTTTGAGAATAATATGCCTCTAGATACACATAGAGCAAATATAGATCCAACCTGTGTCTTGAAGTCATTCCCCCAGAAATTCCAATCCCTTTTATATTACTGTTTTCATAAATAAAGCTCTATAATCTTCTAATACACCATTCTCTGTTAGAATAAATGTTCCATAAGGATTAATATCTTTGTTTTGTTTGCCAATGTATATTAGACAGCCAGAATAGTACCTAACAGATTGTTGATAATCACTAAATATTGGTTGAGTGCCCAAGCTTCAAATATATTTTGAATATATTCAAATTATTACAATGAGCTTCACTAAGGATTTTGTGGAGGACAATGGCACAACCTCCACCACATTATCTTACTTTTATGGCATCCTCCTTTAAAGACAATAGCACATCATATATCATTCTATGAGACCAAATAACATTTAGTTTAGAAATCTATGTCAATTACTTCAGATTCTTCTAGGGCTAGGAGAACAAAAAGATTTACATTTTCTTTCCCTTTACAAGTTCTACATATTCCATTATTTCCTCAGCAATTATATTCTCTTATCTTACTTGCTCCACTGACAAAATGATGCCAGACGGATAACTGAATAGTAACCAACAATTTTCTGTTTCCCCAGAATTCCCCTCATGCATCTTACCATTGTTCCCTATGCCTAAATAGAATGTGAAAGTAGACCTTTAGCAGAATATTCTTATGTGAAAGACTATTACATTGGTTATATCTATTTCAACTAATTTTAACAGTGAGTTTTTTGAGAATAGGTATAGTACATTTTTAGCATTTTTTTTAAGAAAGATTTATTTACAGAGTTTCAGATAGGGAGGAACACACACACACACACACACACACGCACACACACACACACTTTTGCATCTTCTGCTTCACTCCCCAAATAGCCACAGACAGACAAGTCTGGATTAGGCCAAAGCCTGGAGACAAGAATTCCACCCTGGTATCCCACATGGGTGGCAGGGGCCCAAGTACTTCTGCTGCCTTCCCAGGCGTATTAGCCAAAAGTTGGATTGGCAGAACAGCCTAGACTCAAACCAGCACTCCAACATGGCATATTGGTATCACAAGCAGCCATTTATGCAAGTGAACCACGATGTTGGCTCAAAAATAATCATTAAATAAATAATTAAAGAATACGGAACATGGAGTAGATTTTGTACTCACAATGGCAGCTGACCAAAATGGATATCCTAGTAATGTTGCTATGGGAAAATACGAATTTTGAAATACCATCAATTGTGAGACAAGTAAATACATCCAGATCACTCCTAAGCAGTGAAGACTAAAAGCAGTCATCATTTGTATGGCCTGGAAGAAAAGAATAGCATCATTAATCACTTATTATTCCAGTGTATCATTTGAAAAGAACTTACATCAAGAAAAAGCCAAGGTAGTCAAGGATCTAACGGAATTTGAGGCTTCCCAACATTAAGATTAGACTTTGGGGGCCAGCATTGTGGTGCGATGGGTTAAGTGGCTCCTGTGATGCTGGAATCCCGTATGGACACCGGTTTGAACTCTGGCTGCTCCACTTCTGATTCAGTTCCCTGCTAATGTGCCTGTGATAGCAGTAGAAGATAGTTCAAGTACATGGGCCCCACACACCTATGTGGGAGACCTGGATGAAGCTCCTGGCTTCAGCCTGGCCCAGCCCTGGCCATTGTGGCCATATGGAGAGTGAACCAGCAGATGGAAGATGTCTCTCTCTCTCTCTAACTCTACCTTTCAAGTAAATAAAACAAATCATTTTTTAAAAGATTAGATTTTGTTACTATTTCAGAGCAGTTGCAGATATAATGACTCTTCACATATCAAATAAAATTATAACAGAAGCCCATTCATCTGTTTGGTTCCAGAGATCATAAAACATTAATCCTAGAGTCTTGAAAGAATTGATCTCCTTCAAGACCCAGTCCCTCTGTGGTCAACAATCTCTGACCTACTGTTGCAGGTTTTTTGTCTTCCCACTGAATTCTTTAGAAATGCCACAGTTCTTATAACCCTTTGTGTTCCAGTTCTTGTGTTCCAGCTGTTTTCCCTCAGATGGGTTCTTTGTCTTGCAACCATAAAGAATGAGTCATGTGTACAAGGAAGAATGATTGAACCAAAGGAAGTTTATTGAGAGAAGAGAAAGTCATAACATCTGGGAAGGGACTCAGCAGGAATTGCCCACAAAAGGCTGTGTCTAGGGATTTTTTTGTGTGTTTTTAAATGAAGAATTTCATCAAGCTGACCCATATGTAAGCAAATAAGGTTAAAATACATGAGCCAATCAGGGAACTTACATCAGAGTAGCCTATATTGCATAGAAGTTCACAAAAGTGCTCAATGGGCAAGATATTTGGCTATTGTAACAGCATCTGAAGATAACATTGTTTATATTCCTCTTGTCACTCAGTGCTCCTGAAGGGTTACAGAATATATGTTTCATCCATTCAGGATGCCCCCGGAAACCCTTTCAACGCCCCCTTTGAAGAGGTAACCCTAATTGCTGAAGGGGCAATGACTGCTCTGGTTGCTTCATGCCTGTAGGGGATGTTGTTGAGGGACAGCAGTCAGGGTCCTCCAAAAGGCCTAGCCAGGGTCCCTGCACGACCATCTGAAGCTTCACTGATTCTAAAGGAGAGCGTATGAACAGTTTAGAAGGTCTAAGAGGCAACGATTTAGACTTCAAGACCATTAAGAACAAGAGCCACTAAAAGTCATAACCACCTGAGGAGCTGGCTTTTTATAGAGTACCACCTTTCAGAGAAGTTGTCTATCTGGGTGACAATGTCTTCAGCCCTATCCAAGTGCATGACTACCTGCCCATAGGTTAAAGATGACTCCACAGGGTTAGGTCAGGAAAATAGGAAAGAGGGCAATGCAAATATTGGCAAGACTGATGTCTTCTTATCCTAAGGTACCACCCTGCAGCACCCTGCAAGATACGTTTCAGTTTCTCAGAGATAAGTTTCAGTTTCTTGAAACTGGGCTTGGTTTGCCAGAAATCAGGCATTCAGATGGTCCAACCACAAGCGTCAGCACCACCCCCCACTCTAATGGGATTTGATACTCCCATTTCTTGTCTTGGCAAGGCTATAAAAGACCTGTTTTTCTCAGCACAGGCTGCTGTTATTTTGTGCATGGAGAGGCAGACTATTGGCTCTCAACATTAAAACCTTTCCTTTACTCCAGTGTTTGGTGTGTTTTGTGCTGGCCTTTCATGCCAACAATAAGGCAGAATGTAAAGTTTAATGTCAATAATTTGGTACGAGGGTACCAAATGATGATGAGGCTGTTCCCTAAAATGACCCATGGAGTAGTTTACTTATCTCTATGTGGAGGATGTCTTCTCTTGAATAGCAGCTTGAGTCCTTCCATGACCTCATGGGAATGATCATCATACTGATTGTTCTTTTCACAAAACTCGGAGGTCCAGGGTTTTACTCTGGAAAGTTGAATCCAGGAGTCCAATCCTGACACCTTTACTATGGTAAGAGTGGAGAGAACCACTGTGTAGCCTCCCCAGACCTCACCTCTTACAAGGAGTCTTTTCAAATTAGAAGAGCTTCTATTGTCCCAGGGAGGGGAGCTTCCTGTGCTGTTGATTTGGCTGCAAGATCTGCCATTTGATGTCCCTTGGCTAGCTCATGTATTCCCTTTTTCTGTCACTTGCAGTGTATTATCACTACTTTTGTGGAAGAAAAAATGAGGACAGTAGCTTATCAATATCCTGGTGACATTTAAGGGGAAATTCACTGGCCACAAGAAAGGATTTCTCATTTCAATTAGCTCTACGAGTATGCTGAACTGAATAGGCATACTTAGGAGTCTGTGTAGATGTTAACCCTCTCATCTCTGCTCAGCTTGAGGACCATTGTCAGAGCTATCAGCTCTGGCAGCCGGGAATTTATACCTGGGGGAAGAGGAGAACTCTCAATGGTCCCTTCTAGGGTGACTGTTGCTCTGGGGGTTCCTTGTTCCAAAGATTGCTTCTATATGCCTTCTCTCATCCTTCTAATCTCAATCTCATCCATTCTCATCTTACACAACATTCAACTTCTACAAAGCTTCTATAACATACTTATTCCTTCATTTCCTCTATCCAAAATTTTTTTCCATCAAAATCCTTTTTATTAACCCTCTATCATAAAAAATACATTTTCATTCTTAAAACTTCCTCCACAGCTTTCTTTCTTACCTACTGGTTCCTTCAGATAAAACCAGGCCCACTTTAATGCTCTCTGCTAGGGAGTTTAGAAGAACCTTACTACTACCTTGTGATATCTCTTCAGTGGGGGGAAAAACATTGCCCACATATTGTACAACAGTGGTCTGAGGATGGAGAGGTTTCTAGACAAGGCCCATCCAAACAAATGTAGATTTTCATGGCAGTTATAGATCAACCAATCTTTTCTTTGGTTGCCTAAACCTGTGGGTTGATTTGTATCTCAACCAAGGGAAGGCACAGAGTCTGTCCTGGGGGCTATCATGATGGTGATTCCCATTTCAGCCAAGATGTTTCTCCCTAGTAGGGGAGCTGGGCTCTCAGCATGATTAAGAAGTCATGTGTAAAATGCAGGTTTCCCCAGTTACAATTAAGGGGCTGAGAGAAATACCTAACCAAAGGTTTTCCTGAGATCTCTCTCATGATTGTCCAAAGGGAGGAGAGGAGGCCCTGGTTGGAGAAGGGCATGAAGAGGTGGCTTCAACATTCAGGAGGAGGTCTATATCCTCTCCTTTTACCATTAAGAGTACCTGGGGCTCCCAGATGGTAATGGCAGTATCAGAGGGGGATAGGGTAAGAGAGCAAGGGCCCTTTGGCCCTATTGTCCCATTTTTGGGGAGAGATCTGGACCCAGGGACTTTTGCTTTCAGGGACAGTGTATTCACCAATGGATAGGACAAGGTTGTGGAGATCTTTTCTTCATATGAGGGAATTCCTTTTTGAAGTGCCCTGACTGCAGCCATAGCATTTGGGAGCTCCTAGGAATCTCTTGCCCAGTGCAGCTGTTGGCAGTCACCAATGCCACCATATTTTTCTTATCCCTCTTCTCCCAGGCCTTCTTCTGATCCTGATTACAAAAAACCTAAGTAGGCGGAGCCAAGATGGCAGAATAGTGAGGGCGTGCACCGATAGTCAGGGAAAAGATAGTTTAATAAAAGTGGAGTTACTGTAGCCTCAGGAAAAGGCTCAGGAAAAAATTGCAGAGGAAATTCTTCTGGATCTAGTGGATGCGACACAGAGGACCTACGGGGAGAGCAAGGACGCCCACGGCGCGGAGGACAGCCACAGAGTCTGCACACCAGCACTGGAAGGGAGGTGAGACAAAAACCTCGGTAACCTGAGACATTGGCGGGGAAAGGCAGAAAGAGCCTAGAGGGAACGAAAGCCCCACTGGGGAAAGTTCACCAGGCTGACTGGAGGAGAGAAAAAAACTAATAAATAAGGGGAACTGGCATGGACACGAGCCTCTCTCTCCACTCACCTTACAAAGCCGAGCAAGACAAAGAGCAGGCGCCATTTTATGTATGTAAAGCGGTGCCCACCATTAGCCAAGCAGAAAAACCTGACTCTGGTGGGGAGAAATAGCAGGAGGTTAGGACCTAGTGAAAGCATGGGGCTAACGAACTGAGACTGTGAAAATCTGAGGGTGGGCGAGAGAACTCACCGAATACACAAACTCGGTAACCTTGGCAACCTGGTGAGAGACTGTGGAGAAATTTGAGACCATTCTGAGGGCTGCATAAAATCTTTGTGTGGTCCCAGGGGTAGAGCAGTCGAATACCCACAGGGACCAGATTTCATACATCAACTACCCTCAATTCCACTCACCTGTGTGGAATTACTTCCCAACTGAGTCAAAAAAAAAAAAAAAAGAGAGAGAGAGAGCGAGCGAGCAAGTGAGAGAACCATCTGGGTGAGTCACCTTTGGCACACCCTTAACCCTGAAGAACCAAACAGAGGTCTCTGGCCACACCTATCACAGCCTCTAAGGATCCATCAAAAGCAGACAGTCCACTTAATCTAGAGTCATAGTTTAACAAGAAAAAGCACCACAGCAAAGAAACCAAAGAATATCTTCACAATGTCAAACGCAGAAACCGAGGTAACAAGAACAAGGAAGACACTATGATGCCCCCAAATGAAAAAACACCCCAATTCAAGATTATGAAGATGATGAGATAGAAGAAATGCAAGAAGTGGATCTCAAAAAGTTGATAAGAACATTAAGAAGTTCTCAAAAACAAATTCTTGAACTACAGAAATCCTTAATGGACTAGAAAGTCTCTCTTGTGAAAATGAAATATTAAGGAGGAATCGA